TGATCTTCTGGGTGAAGCCAGTAGACCTGGCTTCTTTGCAGCATCCCACTCTCTCTCATTCTGGAAACACTGCCTTCCTTGTGCTTCTTGGATGTCACGCTTTCCTGGCTTTTCCCACCCTCCACCCATGGTTCTGGCCCCTCCTCCCTGCCTGGCCCTGAAATATTAGCCCCCCTGGGGATTCAGTCTAGTCTCATGCTATCGGTTGCTGTCAATACCAGGCCTCCCTTACTAGCCTAGCCTTCTTCCAGAGACTCCAGACCCACAAATCCAACCCTATTCAACATCTCCACTGAGAAATCCCCCAGGAATCAAATGCTCAACAAGTACAAGTAAATTCCTAGCCCAGTCTCACCCCAAGTCTGTGTGTCCTCTGTATGTTCCCTCTCTCCATGAAGACTCCACCACCCACTTAGCCGCCCAGGCCAGACATCTGGGTGTCATCCCCGCTCCTCTCTTTCCCTTGCCTCCTTTCTCTCACCTTCTAGACCTTTCTGGAGTCTGCACTCCCAACAACCATAATCTCAGGCCTGGATTACCACAGGAGCTCTCCTCCCCTCTCCATATTATTTGCACCATCGCCGCTCCCCAAACCAGCTTGCAGCTTGCATTGTGCTCTTGGCCAACTCCTCCTCTGCTGCCGAGATGTGACCACCTGTGACCATTAGTCTGGGCAAGGTGACCCCCTCTTGCACCCCATGGTGTGTCCTCTATTATAATGTGTAGCAGTGTTGGGGTTGCTGGTTATCTGTCTACTGCCTTCATTTGAGGGGAGGGGCATCAGTGTGGCTCTTGGCCTCCATGCCTGGGCTGGCCGGTGGGAGGCGGGAGGAAAGGAGAGTGGGCTGTTTGTTCCTGCTCCTTCCTCGCTGGGCTGCACATCCACAGCGGCTGCATTCCCTCCCCAAGCTCCTCCTCTTGTCTAGCAGTTTCCTCTGCAGCCTCAGCTCTCTCCTTCTTCAGGCTTAGGGTGCTGACGGCTTCCTGATGTTGCCACCCTGGGGATGCATTTTTCACTCATTTCCCCTTATGTAATAGCCCAGTGCTGGGTTAAATAGTGACCCCCCCCCCAAAAAAATGTCATTTCCTTCCTGGAACCTCAGAATGGGACCTTATTTGGAACTAGGGTAGTTGCAGATGTAACTAGTTCAGCTGAAGCCCTACCGGAGGAGGGTGGCCCCTAAATCCAATCTGACTGGTGTCCTTAGGAGAGGAGAGACACAGACACACACACACAGAAGGAAGATGCTATGAACAGACACACAGGAAGACACCATGTGACGACAGAGGCGGACTGGAGTGATGCAGCTACAAGCTAAGAAACACCAGGAGAGCCAGCAACACCAGAGGCTAAGAGAAAGGGGCAGGCAGATTGTGGCCTAGAGCCTCCAGAGGGGTCATGGCCCTGCCAGCACTTTCATCTCGGAAGTCTGGCTGGCCAGTGTGGGTACTTGGTTAGGGCAGCCCTAGGGGATGAATAGAAACCCTTCCCCTCACCCTCACATCAGCCTCTCTGTTCTTGCCACCTGGGCTTTTGCTCTATGAACTCTGCAAAGGCAAAGACCCCTTGTTGACCTGAGGCCTCAGAGCTGGCACAGGGCTGGCCTCTTTGGGCACCCAATTAACCCCTGTTGGGTAAGAGTGAACAAACCTCTCATTTAGTGCTCCTCTCGTACTGAAATAAAATCAAAACAAATGCAAAGCAAGCATGAACGTTTTGGGTTAAGGCAGGGTCCTGCCAAGGCAGCGTGCTCAGTTGGCAGCCCGGAGTCTGGGCACCTGGAACCCTGGCCACCGCTGTGTCAACGGCAGCCCGAGGGCAGCCCGCAGCAGGCCTGGCACACTTGGTCATGATTTTGAAATACTGGATCTGAAAAATCCAACTGGATTGGAAGTTCACTCGATTCTCACCAGAAATGTCAATATTACACATCAATGGAAGAAAAGGGAGAGTTGTCGATTCTTTAAATATCATTTCAACTGTTGTAAAGTTTGTGTGATTGTAAATAATGGCTTCAAAGTTAGCTACCTGCAAGAAGAAACGTCTCAATAGTGATGTCCCAGCTGCCTGCTCTGTCCTGAGCTTGTGTGCAGCCATGTCAGCATAAAGCCTGGATGTTCGTCGGACCAATCACAAGCTTTCATTTCAGAATGGGAACTTTTATGTGGGAGTCTTACACAAACTTACTGAATGCTCTAATGCATGTTTAACTATTTCCTATAATCCTATAAAAAATTAATATTTGCTAAATAACTGTCTTAATCTTTATAAAATTAGAAGATTAACCTTTCCAATTAGCAAATATGATCTGGACCACCCCAGGTCCCCTCTGGTTTTGCCCAGTGTGCCATACAGATATTTTCTATGTGAAAAACATCAGGATGCCCTGTACTGTCCACACTGCATTCATTTGTACAGTTACAAACATGGATCAGTGCCCTCCAAGTCAGTGCACAACCTGGGGAATCTCTCTGACCCCCAAGATAGCTTTAGAAGGAACTAGTCCCGGCTCACGTGGTAAGTCAGGATGAAGAGGTGTCCACAGTGCCCGGAAGAGCAGTGAAGATGGCCGGAGAGAACAGAAAGCTGACCTGCCTCAGAGTTCGTGCTCACTAGGAAAGGCTGGGGTGGGAAGGGCCAAGACAGAAACACCGACCTGTGAGAAAGCGCTTGTCTTGGAAACTGCAGAGCCATCCAGAAGGTATGGGCAGGAGGCTGCAAGCATGAGCTCAGGCCTTGCTTTCCAGGTACTAAAGAATGTGCTCTCCTTCCTGCAGGCGACAGGGATCCTGAAGGGTGTCCAGGAATGACAGCATCCGACCTGCTTCAGGACAGCAGCTGGAGGCAGCTGGGAAAGCTCTGCCTGAGGGAGAGCTTGGAAGTGGGGAGGCTGATGCCCAGGTTCCAGGAGAGCGGAGGAGCCCTGAGCAGACTGTGGTGTGAGCCAGATGGAAGCCAGACTGGGCTGGTTTGGGCATCACCAGGAATAGAGCGTTAGGGGAAGGAGGAGAAGGAATTGGCCGAGAGAGGAATTCCACAGAAAGAGTCCTTGCCAAAGAGAGAGAGAGAAGTCCAGAGGCCCTGGGCTAGGGTAGGAGGCACCCTGTTGCTGTACCTTGGGGCCACAGTGAGACCGGCAGGTTTCCTTTCTGCATAAACACTAATCAAAAGCATAAAGAAGGGGTGCATTTGACATGACCCAGCTCAACCAACAGGAAAAGGTATAAGGGTGCTCTGGAAAGGGGGAGGGGCTATAAGGCCTGGCAGGGAGGAGGCCTGCCTAAGGGGTGCTGGGCAGGGCAGGGCCGGCAGGTTTCCTTTCTGCATAAACACTTCTCAAAGGCATAAAGAAGGGGTGCATTTGACATGACCCAACTCAACCAACAGGAAAAGGTATAAGGGTGCTCTGGAAAGGGGGAGGGGCTATAAGGCCTGGCAGGGAGGAGGCCTGCCTAAGGGGTGCTGGGCAGGGCAGGGCAGTGTGCCTCGAGGTCCAGGGCACTGTTCATACAGACCTTTGGAGCACTTACAGCCTGGCCTTGGTGGGTTCTAGCCTTAAGGATTGTTTTAATTAGGGGCAGTCTTTCAGGAATTTTGTGGCAAGGTGTTTTCCTGCCTCTCTTTGCCCTCCCTGGGAGCTGGGATCTGGCTGTGTTGGATGTAGTGTGTGCTGGGAGTGCTCTGTGGGTACCCCCAGAGTCATCTGTGATCCAGCCCTGCTCGGGGCTGCCCAAGGTCAATGTTTGGCAAGACGCAAGAGTGGAATTCGGACTGATACTGGGTTGACGTGGGAACTGTCTGTGAGGCCCCAGCAATGGTGGGTGTCAGTGCAAGTGACTGGGGCCAGGCTGGAGTCCAGAACGGCCGTGTGAGCTGCGTGCCACGCGTGTACAGGTGTGATGGAAGATGGTTCAACACAGCCTGGCCGTGGCCCCATGTGCACTTAGTAGAGCGCCAGCTTCATGGTTCTGACCCTTGAGAAGGGGCAGAGGGCAGAAAGGCTGGGAGGCCCAGGCGGCCCCCTTTAGCTGGTCCTGGCTTCGCGGCCATTAGGTAAGACCTACCTTACAGACACGGGGCCTTTGGGAAGCTCCCGGTGGCCAGTGGAGAAATGCCAGGTGCGAGGACACAGGATTCCCCAAGAATCCTGAGCGGGCGACGGCCGGTGGGGAGTGAGGGGTAGGGGACGGCCACAACCGGCCCGGGCGCCCCCAGGGCTGTTTGGGATCCCGGGCTGCTCCGAGGCCTGGGGAGGACCAGGCAGGGACTGAAGGAAAG